TTCATACATGCTAGGCAAGTACTTACTGCTAAGCTAAAGTTGTTGGTGCTCTCTCTCTCTCTCTCTCTCTCTCTCTCTCTCTCTCTCTCTCTCTCTCTCTCTCTCTCTCTCTCTCTCCTCCCCCCACATACAAGGGTCTCACTAAGGCCTTAAACATAGCTTTTCTGTGCCTGCCTCCTAAGTGATTGGGATTATATGTCCACAGGTCCACATACAAGTTGCTTCTTCTTATAATTAATTTCTGAAGGTTTACCTTTTATGTGTGTAATGTTTGCCCCCATATATGTATATGCACTACATGTACGCAGTGCCCAAGGAGGCCAGAAGAGAGTGCTGGGGTCCCTGGAACTGGGATCATAGATGGGCATGAGCCACCATGTGGGTGTCAGGAACTGAAGCAGGGTCCCTTGTAAGTGCAGCAAGTGCTCTTAGCAACCGAGCCATCTCTCCAACCCCTGCTAATTTCCTTTTCCTTTGAGGCAAAGCCTTGCTATATAGCCCAGGCTGGCCCAGAACTCCCAACCCTTCTGCTTAAGCCTCCTAAGGGCTGGGATTATGGCATGAGCCACCACTCCCAACTCTCAGAGCAGTGCAGTGCGTTCTGAAGAACTTCAAGCCTCCTGCAGCTTCCCAGTTTACACTATGGCCCCTGCCCTCTCCAGCCCCTGCCCTCTCCAGCCCCTGCCCTCTCCAGCCCTGCCCTCTCCAGCCCTGCCCTCTCCAGCCCTGCCCTCTCCAGCCCTGTCCTCTCCAGCCCTGCCCTCTCCAGCCCTGCCCTCTCCAGCCCTGTCCTCTCCAGCCCCGCCCTCTGCAGCCCTGCCCTCTGCAGCCCTGCCCTCTCCAGCCCTGCCCTCTCCAGCCCTGCCCTCTCCAGCCCTGCCCTCTCCAGCCCTGCCCTCTCCAGCCCTGTCCTCTCCAGCCCTGCCCTCTCCAGCCCTGTCCTCTCCAGCCCTGCCCTCTCCAGCCCTGCCCTCTCCAGCCCTGTCCTCTCCAGCCCTGCCCTCTGCAGCCCTGCCCTCTCCAGCCCCGTCCTCTCCAGCCCCGCCCTCTCCAGCCCTGTCCTCTCCAGCCCCGTCCTCTCCAGCCCCGCCCTCTCCAGCCCCGCCCTCTCCAGCCCTGTCCTCTCCAGCCCTGTCCTCTCCAGCCCCTGTCCTCTCCAGCCCGGTCCTCTCCAGCCCTGCCCTCTCCAGCCCTGCCCTCTCCAGCCCTGCCCTCTCCAGCCCTGTCCTCTTCAGCCCTGCCCTCTGCAGCCCTGCCCTCTGCAGCCCTGCCCTCTCCAGCCCTGCCCTCTCCAGCCCCGTCCTCTCCAGCCCCGTCCTCTCCAGCCCTGCCCTCTCCAGCCCTGTCCTCTCCAGCCCCGTCCTCTCCAGCCCTGCCCTCTCCAGCCCTGCCCTCTCCAGCCCTGTCCTCTCCAGCCCTGTCCTCTCCAGCCCCTGTCCTCTCCAGCCCCGTCCTCCCCAGCCCTGCCCTCCCCAGCCCTGTCCTCTCCAGCCCTGCCCTCTCCAGCCCTGCCCTCTCCAGCCCTGTCCTCTCCAGCCCTGCCCTCTCCAGCCCTGCCCTCTCCAGCCCTGCCCTCTCCAGTCCTGTCCTCTCCAGCCCTGTCCTCTCCAGCCCTGCCCTCTCCAGCCTTGTCCTCTCCTGTCCTCTCCAGCCCTGTCCTCTCCTGTCCTCTCCAGCCCCTGCCCTCTCCAGCCCGTCTCCACGCCCCCACAGTTTCCTCCACAGACACACCAAGCTCAGGCAGGGCTTAGGGTCTCTGGGGATGAGTGAAGGTCTTGAGGGCAGACAGTCACTTGGAGGGAGTGTGACGTCATCGGTGAAGCATGCATGGGGTGACAGGAGGCAGGCAGCATCTCTCTCTCTCTCTCTCTCCCTCTCCCTCTCCCTCTCCCTCTCCCTCTCCCTCTCCCTCTCCCTCTCCTTCTCCCTCTCCCTCTCTTCTCCAGTTCTCAGCCAGGTGCAGGCCAGGGCTTAGTGCACAGGCAGGAGACAGCTTCAGAGGGGGCCCGACCCAGCCACCTGAGGGTCAGATGGGGAAGTCAGAGTTCCAGGCAGGAAACTGTGTGAGCCGAGTTGGGAAAGGACATGAGCAGGGACAGAGGGTGAAGACACGCCGGATCGGCGGGCTGCCGGTGTCGTCTGGCTGGTAAATTTCTGGAGCAATGGAGTTAGAGCGAACGAACTGGAAGGGAGGCCATACCAACAAGAGAACGGAGTTTCAGAGACAGCGGAGAAACTGGCGGGGGCAAGGCCCAGTGATTTTTAACTCCCGTGTGTTTGGGGAGCCCTGCAGGGCTTTCTGGAACAGTGCTGGGCCCCACCCTAAGGTGCCTGAGTCAGTTCGGAGTGGACGCCTGAGAAATTCTGTGCATGACAAATCCCCAGAGGCCGCTGCTGTTTGGACCACAGGTGATGGGGGAGGAGGTGATGCTCTTTACAGTCAGGGCGGAGGGCAGGAAGGCGGCTCAGCCGGCAAAAGTGCTGGTGGCACAGACCTGAGGATCTGATTCGGTCCCGGAACCCACAGAAAAAGCTGGACGCGGGTAGGGCGGGGTGCGCACCTGCAGTCCCGGCCCTCACACCGCGAGATGAGAGAGGTGAGAGGGGGAGGCGGGAGAGGAGTGTGAAGCAGAGAAACCCTGTCTCAACGAGGTAGAAGGAGAGCGCTGATTCCCGGAAACGCCCTCTGACCTCCACATGCACCGTGTAGCACACATGCGCCTGCACTCACACGGACGGGAAATAAATTAATTGACTAAATAAGAAAAAAAAAACAGCTAAGGAGGCCAAGGACCTGTGAGCTAATGTGGATGGAGGGTCAATCATTCACTTGACTGTTGAAATCATGGAAATGCTGCCTGGGGACAAGTACTGACCTTACAATTAAAGGACAGTAACAAGGAAGGATAAAACAGAACAGGACGCGGCCTCAAAGGGGCAGACATTTAAAATTCTTATTTATTTTTATGTGCACACATTGGTGTGTATGTGCACCATGTGGATGCAGATGCCTTCAGAGGCCAGAAGAGAGCGCTGGATCCCCTGAAACTGAACTCACAGGCAGTTGTGAACGCTCAGAGTTGGCTATTAGGAGCCAAACCCTTTCTCTCTGGAAGAGAAGGAAGGACTTGTAACTGCTGGGCCTCCTACTCCAGCCCCGGGACAGACAGTGTGAGAGAGAAAAGGGGCTATTTAAAGGCAAAGGTGGCATATAAGGAGAATACCAGCCTCAGACCCAGAGGAATGTGGGAGGTGGGAGAAACCGTCTCTGGTCCCAGAAAGAACAACAACGGAAGTAGGGTTCCTACCTTGGGACTGAATGGTGAGAGTCAAAGAAGCTGGGGTGTCAGGTGACAAAGATCACCGAGAGATGAGGTCAGGCCAGAGCACATCCTCAACAATTCCAAAACCAGCCTCCCTTGGGATAACAAGTGTGCACTACCAGATCCTGCTTTAAAAAAAAAAAAAGGTTCTGATGGGCTGGAGGGCTGGCTCAGTGGTTAAGAGTTTATACTGCTCTTGCAGAGGACCTGCGTTCAGACACCAGCACCCATGTTGGGTGGTTCACAACTGCCTGTAACTCCAGCACCAGGGGATCTGATGCCCTCTTCTGGCCTCCATGGGCACTGCAGTCACATGAGCACACACACACACACACACAAATACACATAATTTTAAAATAAGAAAATTAAGTCTTTTAAAAATGAAAGAAGCACAAGGATTGGAGAGATGACTTAGTGATTAAAAACACTTGTTGCTCAGCCGGGTAGTGGTGGCGCATGCCTTTAAACCCAGCACTGGGGAGGCAGAGGCAGGAGGATCTCTGTGAGTTCGAGGCCAGCCTGGTCTACGGAGCGAGTTTCAGGACTGCCTCCATAACCACTGGGAAACCCTGTCTCGAAAAACAAAACAAAACAAAAACAACAAAACAAAAGACACTTGTTGCTCTTGTAGAGGACCCAGATTCAGGTCCCAGCATCCAACGTAGAGGCTCACAATGAATATAGCTCCAGTCTAAGGGAACCAACACCTTCTTCTGGCCTCTATGAAACACTGCACACATGTGATACACACACACTTGCATATATGCAAGCAAACCCTTGTTCACATAAAAAAAATAATAAAACCCAGCCAGGCATGGTAGCCTACACCTTTAATCCCAGCAGTTGAGGCAGAAGCAGGCAGATCTCTGTGAGTTCAAGGCCATTCTGGTCTACATAGTGAGTTCCAGGATAGCCAGAGCTACAATGTGACAACCTGTATCAAAAAATATATATAAAATATAAGTCAGGCAGTGGTGGTACACGCCTATAATCCCAGCACTCGGGAGGCAGAGGCAGGCAGATCTCTGAGTTTGAGCAAGTTCCAGGACAGGCACCAAAGCTACACAGAGAAACCCTGTCTCAAAAAATCAAAAATAAATAAATAAAATATAAATGATAGCACAGATATATGATTTGTTTTCTTATTGACATGGGGTGGGCTTCCTGTGTCAACAGGGTAGCCCAGAGTGGCTTTGAACTCAAAATCCCCCTGCCTCTCCAGTGCTGGGATTATAGTTGTGCACAATGAATATGTAATTGATTCAACATGAAATGAAAATATGCTTGGTTGATATAATGAATAGGTAACTGCTTCTAAAGCAGGTTCATGTGGCCTTTAATATAAGATACTCGAAGCTACTTTAGCCTACTCTCCCAAGGTTCTGTCTGGCTGGTGCTTGGGAGAGAATCGGAGAGGTTGCTTCAGGGCTTGAGTGACGGCTGGGGAGAAGCAGTTATCATTTCAACTGGAAAATGAAAAACTCAAGACTCAGGCGTGGTCTGTGAGGGAGCCGCAGACACTGGAGAGACCAAGAAACCCCCCAGGACTCTTCTGCCCAAAGCCTGCTGTCTCTCACCAGTTCCTGGGAGGGGCGAGGCTGAGGAAGCTTAGCCATATAGAGGTCAGACACTCCCGGAAATCTTCTAATGGTCTTACACAGCTAAGCTGGCCTGGGCTGCCCCCCTTCTGGAGATCCCGCCACTACCAATCCAGTCCAGTTCCCCCTCGACAATGACAGGGCTGGTTGAGCCAAGGCAACAGGGGCAGAGGGCCGGAGCCTAAGGTCAGCCGAGGCCTTGGAGGCACGGGACTTGGCTCCTTGACATTCAGAAAGCCAAGATGGGGCAGCAGTTCAGCTGGGAGGAGGCGGAGGCTGCTGGGGAGATGGACGTGGCGGAGCTGCAGGAATGGTACAAGAGGTTTGTGGTGGAGTGTCCCAGTGGGACGCTCTTCCTGCACGAGTTCAAGCGCTTCTTCAAGGTCACGGGCGATGAGGAGGCCACCCAGTACGTGGAGGGCATGTTCCGAGCCTTCGACAAGAATGGGGTAAGGAGCCCTGCAGGGGCACCCGTGACCAAAGCGCCTGGGGCCCTTCCTGTCCGGGGGCCTCCCGCGGTCAGGTCCTCTCTCCTGCTTTCCTCCCCATGCCCTTTCTGCTCACCATCCCCCAGCCCCTCGCTCTCCCATCATCCGTCCCGTCTCCTCGTCCTCTCATTGGCTCCCTAACCCTCTTCCTGAGAGCCAAAGGTCCCTGGCACACAGCCTGGGACTTGCTGTGCATTTTGGACCAAGGAACTGCAGCAAACGGACATGGTTTTTCAAAGCCCGTAGAGCACCTGTTGCCCTAAACACAAGGGCCTGAGATGTCCCAAAGCTATCTTAGCACAGACAAAGGGCATCCCTTGCTAGGGCCGTTCAGACGGAGGCTGCTCAGCTCTCTTCCCTATTCCGGATGCTGCGGGGGCTTCACACTGACTGGGAGGTGGGTGGGTAGTTGCAAAGCCCCTTTTAACTCTTAAAAAAAAGATTAATTGTGTGTGCGCCCACACGTGTGTGTGTGTGTGTGTGTGTGTGTGTGTGTGTGTGTATACACATGGAGATCAGAAGGGGGCATCAGATAACTTAGAGCTAGAGTAACAGGTGTTTGTGGGCTGCCCAATGTGGGTACTGGCATCCAAATAATGTCCTCTGATAGACCAGTAAGTGTTCATAACTACTGAGCCCTCTCTCCAGCTCTTTTTCAACCCTTTAAGCCCTCCAATGGCACCAGCAGCTAAAAGATACTAAAATATGTAAAGCGCACATGGTAATCGGACTTTAAAATGTGTATGTGTGTGTGTTTGCATTCATGAGTTCATGCGTGGGAGGTACATTTGTGTGTGTGCATACGGAGGCCAGAAATGGGTCTCGGGTGTCATCTCTAGGAGGTATCCATCTTGTTTTAGTGACACCATCTCTTGTTGGCCTGGAGCTCACCAACTAGGATAGGCTGGCTGGTCAGTAAGCCCAGAAACCCTCCTGCATCCGCTCAGCACTGTTCTACTGAATTTTAGACTGTGTGGGTCTGTGCACATGCATGCAGTGCCCACGGTGACCAGAAGAGGGCAGTGGCCCCCTGGAACTGGAGTTAGAGGTGGTGATGGGAAGTACCTGCCCTGGACGGCTGAGCCATCTCCCCAGCCCCCATGCCCAGCCTTTTGTGTGGGCGCTAAGGCAGGAACTCTCCGGGGGCTTCACGCTCTCACAACAAGCACTGTATGGACTGAGCCATCTCCCCCATCCATTCTCAATTCGTTAATGCTACTGTCCTCAGCAGTTAGGAGCACTGGCTGCTCTTCCAGAGGATCCAGGTTCAATCCCCAGCACCCACACGGCAGCTCACAACTGTCTGTAACTCCAGTTCCAGGGATCTGACACACATGCAGGCAAAATACCAATAAATAAAATAAAATTTAAAATAAATTATCTTTAAACAATTATATGAAAAAGACTATTTTTAAAGGTTGTCTGGTCATCCTGAGGTCCTTTTTGTTGTGCTGTATTGTTTTGATTTGGGATCTTTGTTTGAGACAGGGTTTCACTATCTAGTCCTAGTTGGCCTGGAACTCACTCTGCAGACCAGGTTGGCCTTGAACTCACAGAGATCCACCTGCCTTGGCCTCCTGAGTGCTGGGATTAAAGGTGTGCGCCACCTTGTCTGGTGCCCCTGGGGTCTGCAATATGGAATAAAGCCTATTTTAGCTCCTGAATTGAGGGAATACACAGGTAATCTGAACAAAGTGTTCGCAGAAAGCTGTGCCAAGCTGACTTGGTGGGATTGCCACTGAGACCCTTAGTCCCAGTCAGAGGGCAGGCTCACCTCAGACCTGGAGGATCCACCTCCTCCTCTTCTCCCCGGGGCTGTCGGAGCCTCACCAGGGAGGGGCATAGTGTTTTTTGTCTGAATTAAATTAAATAATGAGAAAACTGGCGGCTGGGCGTGGCGGTGTATGCACCGCCCAGCTCTGGAGAGCGTCCTAGTATGAGGCCAACACTGACTCCACAGACAGACCCTGTTTTAAACAGACACATCCAGCCCAAGGAAGGGAGCCCATTTGCCCAGGGTCATCATTCCACTGTCTTAACTCCTGGTCCAGTGTCCCTACTTAGAAGGACTGGGAATCTTGTTGCTATTTTTAGATCGATTTTATCTTATGAATATGAGCATTTTGCCTGCTTGTATGCATATGCAGTGCACTGTGTGCCTGGTGCCCACAGAGGTCAGAGGGCATCTGATTCCCTAGAGCCGGAGTTGTAGATGGGTATGAGCTGCCCTGTGAGTGCTGGGAACTGAACCAAAGTTTGCTGCAAAAACAAGCGCTCGTCACCGTGGGGCCACCTCCCGGCCCGTTTGCCTTGAGACGGGGTCTTACTATGTAGCCCAGTCTGAGTTTAAAACTTGAGATCCCCCTGCCGCAGCCTCCTCCCTCTGCCCCTCCTGTCCCTTGCAGCGCCCCTCTTGAGAGTAGCCTGGGGAAGATGGGGCTGGAGAGATGCTCAGGTTCAGTGGACCCAGGCGTGATCACCAGCATCCACGTGGTGGCTCACAACCATCCGTACCTCCAGGTCCAGGGGATCCAGTGCTGTCTTCTGACCTCCGTGGGCATCCGGCACACACGTGGTATACATACATGCAGGCGAAACGTTCGTACATGAAAACAAAATAAATCCTACAGAAAAACGTAAGGGGCAGCCACAGCCATCTCTTGTTCGTCAGGATTCCTTTTGTCTGCTTGCTGACCTTTCAAGGCTGTGTCGTCTGCACTGGCCGCCAGCACAGGCACCAGTTTGAAGTTCCTGTACAACAGCTGCAGGGCCAGTGCACGCTGCAGCCGAGCCAGGGGGAGCCAGGGCAGAAAATCTCCCAAGTGCCTCCAGCCTGTGCTGAGTATATGGTGTTTCCATCCATCTCAGGCTGTGGTGGGTAATTGCTGCTGACCTGTGCACAGATGAGATTAACCCCAGGCAGAGGTGTCCCACAAACAGTCCCAGAGTTTTTATGACCTCACATGGGTGGAGGCTACACCAGGAAGGAGCTATGCCAGAAAGTGCCTCGTGAAGCATGGGGTCATTGTAGAACCTGAGTTGTGCAGAGAGATAACACTGTAACAACAGAAAATTCTGGACAAATGATGAACATCAATTCTCTAAACCTGGTGGCCTGGGCTTGCCACCCCAGCTACATGGAAGGGTGAGGCAGAGGGTGAGCAGGGTCCCGGGGTGAGGAACAGCATGCACGACGACGACTCAGCAGCCTCTTGGGTTGCAGGGAACAGGGGACGCTGAATCCGGGGCCGTAGGATCAGTGGGACTCAGCCTGCTCCCTGGGGAGGAGAGACTGGGGATCTGGGGCCTCAACACTGTGCACACTTGATGCAGGACAACACCATTGACTTCCTGGAGTACGTAGCGGCACTGAACCTCGTGCTGAGGGGCACCCTGGAGCACAAGCTTAAGTGGACCTTCAAGATCTATGACAAGGACCGCAACGGCTGCATCGACCGCCTGGAGCTGCTGGACATAGTGGAGGTCGGTATCTGCCTGTGAGCCCCACCCACTCCTCACTCCTGGGGCTGGGGACCTGCTCGACAGGGAGCCGGCTGGCCCCCCTGGACGTGGTGGAAGTGATGAAATCATTCACGGAGTGTAACTGGGGCCCGCAAGATAGATGGCCCAGCTGTTTGGTTGCCAGCAAACCTGCCAACTTAAGTCCAACCCCTGGATCTATTTGGCAGAGTAAGAGAGCAAAGTCCTGGAAGTCGTCCTCTGACCTCCTCTTGCTTGCCATAGTATGAGTGCACTCACACATACGGGACACACCCTCTGACACACACACCATCACACACACACACACAATAATAATAGTAGTGATAGCAATAACAACAAATTTCAGTTTGAGAAAAGGAAACAAGAATGCCACTGATCTAAGGAGCCACCTACTGACGTTAGAAAGGAGTAAATTAAGCCCAAAGAAATTGAAAACAAGAAATGAATTGGGTAGAAAACAAAACACAAAACTCACGCCTCAGTCTCAACACACGTGAGGCTTAAGCATGAAAATCAGAGTTCAAGGCCAGAGCACCCTACATGATGAATCCATGCCAGCTTTGGTGTCACAAGAGAAAAAAACAAAACAAGCAAATGAATGAGAGGACAATCTTGAGTCAAAACTGTCCATTCTTCTGTCTGTCACCATGGGCGGAATACCGAGGTGACTGGAGCACGTGAGGGGGAGGGCGCTCACACTGAGGCAGCCAGGAAGTAAGCAGGCCAAGTGACACCCGTCAGAGACGCCCTCCTAGAGAGCCTGTCTCCTGAGCTTCCATGATCTGCCTTCCACAGACTACTTAGGTTTCGTGTCCATCAAAGGGTGAAGCCACTCACTCTGTCAGACCCCTTTCGATCTGCTTGGCTCTAGAAAACACCTCAGTCCAATCAAGTTGACAGTTCCAGCAGACTAACATAAAAAACGAGTCAATGAAAATCAAAATTTGGGCTGGGCGGTGGTGGAGCACACCTTTAATTTCAGCACCCGGGAGACAGAGGCAGTTGGATCTCTGTGAGTTCGAGGCCAGCCTGGTGTATAGAGCCAGTTCCAGGACAACCAGGACTGTTACACAGAGAAACCCTGTCTCAAAAAATAATAATAATAATCACAATTGTTTCTTTTTGTGGGGTGGGGGAAATGTATGGTGTGTGGTTGTGGTCATCTTTTTAAGCAATTTACATTTTAGTATTTTATGTGTGTGGATGTTTTCCTACGTGTACAGTGCTGAGCCCTCAGGAGCCAGTGGTGGGGTTAGGTCCCCTAGAACTGGAGTGACAGGGGTTGTGAGCTGCCATGTGGGTACTGACAATTCAGCCCAGGTCCTCCGGAAAAGCAGCCAGTGTTCTTAACCACTGAACCATCTCTCTACCCCTCCACTTTTTGTTTGTTTTGAGACAGTCTTTTTTTGAGGCAGGGTTTCTCTGTGTAGCCCTGCCTGTCCTGGAACTGACTGAAAAGTAGTGGCTTACACCTTTAATCTCAGCACCCGGGAGGCAGAGGCAGGTGGATCTCTGTGAGTTCGAGGCCAGCTTAGTCTACAGAGTGAGTGCCAGGACAGACTCCAAAGCTACACAGACAAACTCTGTCTCAAAAAAAAAAAAAAAAAAAAAAAAACAAAAAAAAACAAAAAACAAAAACAAAAACAAAAAAAGAAAGAAAGAAAGCTCTTTGATTCCTCTAAGTGGCTGGCTAACTGGCCAATGACCTTCAGAGTAGCATCACCCACGGTGTGCTGGGCCCTCCAACATCCCTTATTAATCAAGAAAATGCTGAAGGGCCCAATAGACTTGCCCTCAGGAGGCATGTTCTCAGTTGAGGCTCCCTCTTCCCTGGTGACTCCGGCTAGTGTCAAATGAACAGAGAGCATCCAGGACATCTGGGTTAGGCGACACCAGGATGCTCATCCTGGAGGCCAGCACTAGGGAGGTGGCGCTAAGGGACACAGAGGAGCCTCGCTCTTTCTCTCTGGCAGGCAATTTACAAGCTGAAGAAAGCCTGCCGGGCAGAGCTGGACCTGGAGCAGCAGGGCCAGCTGCTCACGCCTGAGGAGGTCGTGGACAGGATCTTCCTCCTGGTGGACGAGAACGGAGACGGTAAGAGAAGCCGGGGGAAGGACCACACGAGGCATCAAAGGGCACCAAAAACACCCGAGCACACGTTTGTAGGGTACAGTGTGACATGTGCGTCCAGCGCCCGCCCACAAGAGTGCTGGGCCCCCTGAAACTGGAGCAACAGACAGTTGTGAGCCACCATGTGGGTGCTGGGCCCTGAACCTGTGTCCTGTGTAAGAGCAGCCGGTGCTCTTCACCACTGAGCCATCTCTCCAGACCCAAGTATATTTTTTAGAAGAGAAAAGGGCACCAGAGAGATGGTTCTGTGGAAGCCTGATGACCTGAATTCAATCCCTGGTTGAAGGAGAGAACCAAACACTGCAGGTTGTCCCCTAACCTTCACGTTCACAATGTGTCGAGCACGCCCCTCCCGTGTGTGTGTGTGTGTGTGTGTGTGTGTGTGTGTGGTGTGCTAATAATTAAAGGTGTGGGAGGCAGAGGCAGGAGGAGCTCTGTGAATTCAAGGCCAAGCTAGTCTCCACAGTGAGTTCCAGGCCAGCCAGGGCTGCACAGTGATACCCTGTCTCAAAAAAAAAAAATTAAAAAAAAAGAAAGGAGTTGGTGTCTGAGGAATGACACTAGAAATTGTCCTTGGGCTTTCATATTCATGCTTGAGCCTGAGCAAACACACACACACTCACACACACACTCACACACACATTCATACTCTCATGCACACTCACACACTCACTCACACACACACTCACACACACACACACACACACACACCTCCTATGGACTCAGATTTGACAAGCTACAGGTTTAGAACCAGGCCTCGGCCCTCCCCGTACGGCCAGGCCCAGCTTCCCTCCCTTGTGACCATCTCTCCACCCTTGCCAGGCCAGCTGTCTCTGACCGAGTTCGTCGAAGGTGCGCGTCGGGACAAGTGGGTGATGAAGATGCTACAGATGGATGTCAACCCTGGTGGCTGGATCAGTCAGCAAAGGCGGAGAAGTGCCATGTTCTGAGGGCCGGGGACCCTGCAGGAGCCCACACTTCCCTCTAAGCCTCCGGGTCCCCCAGGTTTTCAAAGTAGCAGGAGGCCCCTGGCCTAGTTGGCTCAGGCCCACTCTGGCTTGGTGTGGACTTCCTGATCCCCACCCCCACCCCAGTGTGGGACAGCAAGGGCCTGAGCAGCGGCTGCTGGGTCAGAAGAAGCTCACTGGGGTTCCGTCCGTCCATTGTCCATCCGTCTGTCCATCTGTCTGTCGGTCCGTCCGTCCATCCGCAGGATTTACTAGCGTTGTAGGGAACAACTTTACCCTAGTCCCCAGCTGCTCTGGAAGAGCTGGGCTTTGGCTGGAGATGTGGGGCTCCCTCTAATCTTGAGGTGTCCTTGGCGGGAATGGGGCAGCTGGGGGTGGGCGGGAGGCAGAGACCGGTAGGCGTGGTCAGGAAAGAGAATAAGGATGGGGAAGGATCACGACCCAGCACCACCCACCCTGAGCAGCCTCCTCCGCCATGGTGTGCTCACCGGGCCTGCCCAGCTTAACAGGGTGAGGGAGTGGGGGTGCGGGTGGCATTAGCTCTGCTCGGTGCTGCTCCCCAGATCCCCCTCTGCAGGGTCAGCCTGTCACCATTCCCAGTCATGGTCCACATGCCTCGTTTATGATGGAGTCACCGGCTCTTCATCTCTGGGGAGGACCAGGTGCCTGTGCATTGAGTTCCGGGCCAGGCTTTGTCTCCGACTGCTGTTGGACCCCCAACCTCCTGCAGGCTGAGGAGAAGCTAGACTTCCAGGGGCTCTAACCCTCTGCCCCTGCCATCTGTGCAGCTGGGGAAGGCACCTCAGAGGACCCGGAGTGGGGCCAGTGTCACTCAGTGATTCCCCGTGGAGCCTGGTGGATTACTGGCTTTACCTTGAGCAGATATGGTTTTATGTTAAAATAAAGTAAACCAACTTATCGACCTGGAGGGGAAGTTTCTTTGCTTGTCTGAGGAAAGCCTCTAGCTGTAGCTCAGGCTAGCCTGTAGCCCACTCTATAGCCCAGGCTAGCCAGAACTCCTGCCTCAGGCAGGAGATCACAAGTGTGAGCCATGTGCCCAGGGTTTTTGTTCCCAGGAAGGGTTATTTGTTTTCATTTTGTGGAGCAATTAGGACATTTTCCGAAGCCCATGTAAGACCCATGGCAATCCTCCTGCCTCAGCACCTTGCATGCTGGCATCACAGCTGTGCACCACTGTACCCAGCTTGAAGTAGAGGCGTGTTGTGTTTTGTTTTTTACTTTTATTTTCATTTTATGTGCATGGGTGCTTTGCCTGTATATGTCTGTGCGCCGTGTGTGTGTCCTCCACAGAGGCCAGCAAACGGTGTCCAATCCCCTGGACCTGGAGTCGAAGGTGTTTGCAAGCTACCGCGTGAGTGCTGGATCTTCTGCAGTGAGAGCAACCAGGTCTCACTGCTGAGTCCTCTCTCAGCCCCTAGGGGTTTTATATTGTCTAGGATGTTGCTATAAAGTTTCCTTTAGAAATCACTTCAGTGAAAACGATCCACAAAAGTATGAGCAGTACCTCAGATAGGAAAAGAGGTTTGTGTCCCCAAATCATGGAGGTGGATGAGGCAGGCTGGAGGGTGCCTCATCTAACACTGACAGACAGTGGATGCTCAATGAATGTTGTTCATCACTTAAAGCCTCACAAGCAGCAGCAGGCGGCAGGGGCAGGGCAGGGCGTGACTGCCTGAAGCTGTGTCAGCGGATGCCAGGGGCCCCTCTGTAACGTGTAGTCTCCCCACCAGCCGCTTGGGTCCCACTGCTGTCTCGGCCCCCAAATAACACACGAGACACTATATTAATTCTGACGCTATTGGCCGTTTGCTGTGATTTCTTACCAGCCAGCTCTGACTTAATCATTAACCCATAACTGCTAATCTAAGTATTTCCACGTGATCTTCTCTTACTGGAGAAAGGGTCCAGGCCTCTTACTTCTCCCACGTCCTACATCGTGACTGACTGTGCCTCTGTTTCCCAGAATCCTCCTCGACTCCTAGTCCCACCTATTGGCCAACAGTGCTTTATTTAATCAACCAATAAGTCAACATATACACAGAAGGACTTTCCCCCATCACCCATCAGAGTTCCAGGAGCTCTCTCTCAGAACTTCCACGAGAAGACGTGAGGGGCACGAGAGGGACGTCAGGACGGGGAGGTACCACAGGGAGCATCGAGCAGGGACCAGGGACCGTCCTCTCTGCCCCTCCGCTGGCACTGTGCGCCCAAAGAAACAAGCCGAACCTTTGAGTTCAGGAGATTCTATGTAATGCTAAGACAAGAAGAAAACAACCACACCAGGCACCACACCGGGCCAACCCTCGGCATGCAGAAGCCGTGGAGTGAGACTCAGCCTGCAGCCTCTGCTGCAGGGTCACCAGCGCCTGCGTCCTCCTGGTCACCGTTCTGGAGTCTGCGCACAATGCGGGTCAAGTCCAGGCTTCGGGTCAGGGTGTCCAGGAGCATCTGGTCCTTCTGGACGCCTTCCATGAACTCCTCCAGAGACAGCTCCCCTGGGATGGAGAGAAAGGGGTTGTCAGGATGAGGTTTCAGTAATCCAGGGTTCAGAGCTGGATGCTTGCAAAGGGCGGGGACAGAGCCAGCTCTGGGGGCAATGGCAAGGGATTCAGAACCCAACATCCGGTGCAGGGACCCCCAGATCTACTTCTGAGCCAGGGCAGAGGTGGGTGGGGGAGGTGGCCAGCAGGAGGCCCCTCTCCTTCTCCTCTCTTGCCCCTCTCCAGGGGTGACTGCCATAGCCCAGGGAAGTCCCTCCTCGGTGCCCTCACCATCCCCGTTGATGTCGATCTTGGCAAACACAGTGTCTGTGAACTCCTCCGCACTCATGGATGAGTCGCTCCAGGGATTAATGGTTCGGATGGCCTGGGAGGACAGACAGACAGAAATGAGGGGATCCGCCTCAGTAGTGGAGGTGGGAGCAGAGAGAGCTTGTCAGAACCCAGAAGCGGTTCAGAGTGGAGATCATGGTACTATGGGGCCTCTGACGCTTGGAACATGATGGGAGATGTCTTCTGTATATACGTTTGTCTTATCGGTTGATGAATAAAGCACTGTTTGGCTAGTAGCCATGCAGGGAGGATACGTGGGGCTACAAGATGAGGAGAATTCTGGGAAATATAGGCAGAGAGAAGTAGTCATGTGAGCCGGGGAAGGGAGGCTGCAAGTCAGGCGTTCTTTGGTAGGATAAGACCATGGAAATGCGTAGATTAGCAGTGACGGGTTAATGATTAAGACAGAGCTAGCCAATAAGAAGCCCTAGCCATCAGCCAACAGTTTCATAATTAATATGGCATATGTGTGTTTATTTGGGACTTCAGGGCGACGGGACCTTGCAAGGCTGAAAAACTCATGCTTACAGGAACACTACGACAGAATTGCCACAGATTTCTAGGTCAATACAGCCAAGCACCTGTGAGCCAGTCTACACTACAATGTAACACCTTGTCATTAAAGAAAGGGCAGGGTAGCCCACGCCTTTAATTCCTGTGCTGGGAGGCAGAGGCAGAGACAGGCAGATCTCCGTGAGGTCCAGACCTGCCTGGTCTACATAGTAAGACTTGGTCCCAAAAAACAAGCCCTGAGATAGTGATAAAAGTATGCTTGGTGCCCAGGTAAAAAGCCAGGTGTGGTCCTGCTCCTGTAATCCCAGTGCCAGGGGTGAGGGAGGGGGTGGGGCAAGAGGCCTGCTGGGCATTGCTGGTCCTCAGCCTAGCTCCGTAAGACAGACGACACAGAAAGACACTTGACACCCCCTCCTCTGGCCTCACACATAAACACCCCCTACACACACACACACACACACACACACACGCACACGCACGCACGCACACACGCGCATGCACGCACGCATGCACGCACGCACACGCGCGCGCATGCACACACGTACACACACAGAGTGGAACTTTAGCAGTGACTTAGTACCAATGAAGACACTAAGGCCCAGATCATGCATTTGGTGAGAAAGCTGTCTCAAATCTCATCCCAGTTCTGGGCTGCAGCTCTATCCTGGGGCTCTCAGCCCAGGGCACCCACGCTTGGCCACCCGCCACGCACCACTGGCCCAGCCCTCTGCACCTGGAGTTACCCGGATGATGGTGAGCAGCTCGTCCCTGTCTATGCACCCGTTGCCATCGACGTCGTAGAGCTTGAAATACCATCGTAACTTCTGTTCCACCTTGCCCTTGAGGACCAGGCTGAGGGCTGCCACATACTCCATGAAGTCGATGTAGCCGTCCTGGGTGAGGGCAGAGAGGTGAGGCGGGTACACACACCAGGGCTCCGCCCACTCTACTCAGAGCCCCGCCCGCTTCAGTCAGAACCCCGCCCCAAGGCCTCTGCCCAATTCTCCCCCCTCACTCCCCCATCCCACCCCTGCATCCAAAAGCCCTCAGATGCTAAGCAGAAGGGAGCAGAGGGCAGCTTATTGTAACACCAATATCTGTCTTTCCCGGCACTTCATCGCCCGCAGAGGCTGTCAATCAAACCTGTCGGAACCACCCCACTGCTTCCCTTGGATTCTCAAACAGGACCCTTCCCATAGCCAAGTGGGTGGGAGAAGGAAGAGCACGAGCCAGGGCTGGAGGCTTGATTTGGGGAAGCTCTTGAATTGCTGACCTTTCAGGGAGGGGCAGGAGACCTGTATGGAGACTCTTTCCTCTTGGCTTCAAGCTCCTGAACCCTATTGTGTGCTGAGAAAGAACTTGGAACTCAGTGAAACAGTTACCCTGTCCTGACTGGAGTGCAACATTAGAGGCACGGGTTTGAATCCTACCTCCTCGGCCATCTCTGAGTTTTAGGATGTGGGACAGAGGACTTAGCATGCCCCTTCTATGACACTCGACTTCCTGATCTAGAATAGCGGCAGTGGTACCGACTGTCGGGATTGCTCAGCGTACCTCCCAGGATGGCCATCAGGACGGAACGTGGCCCCGTGCAACAATGCTTGAAGAGGAGAGAATGTTGCTTGACACACAATAAACAATAAATGAGCAGCGTCTTGCTGTGTGGCCCAGGCTGGTCTGGAACCCAGGATCTCCCTGCCCTGCTTCTTGGATGCTGGGATAGGAGCGTACCTTGATTTTTGCTTTTTGTCTTCTTGTGTGAGTGTAGTGTGTGTCTATGTGTATAGTATGTGTGTATATCGTGTGTGAGTGTGTGTGAGTGTGTATGTGAGTGTAGTGTGTGTCTGTGCATAGTGTGTGTGAGTGTAGTGTGTGTAGTATTCACAAGTGTGAGTGTGTATGTGTGTGAGTGTCTGTGCCTGTGTCTGTGTGTGAGTGTGTGTATGTCTGTGAGTGTGAGTGTGTGAGTGTCCGTGTGTCTGTGTGTCTGTGTATGTCTTGTGTGTGTGTCTGTGTGTGTGCCTGTGTGCCTTGTGTGTCTGTGTGTGAGTGTGTCTGTGTCTGTGTCTGCATGTTTGTGCTTATCTCTGTGTGTGTGCCTGTGTGTGTCTGTGTCTGTGTCTGCATGTTTGTGCTTATCTCTGTGTGTCTGTGTGTGTGTGTGTCTGTGTCTGTGTCCGCATGTTTGTGCTTATCTCTGTGTGTGTGTGTTCTGCCGGTACTTTGGAGGTCAGAGGTTCATGTGGGGTGTCCCACTCTATCGCCCTCCACATTACTGTTGAGACAGGGTCTCTCACGGGACCTGGAACTTGCTGATTCAGCTGACCCGGCTGGCTAGTGAGCCCAGGGACCCACCTATCTCTGCCTCCCTTTCCCAGGGCTAAAGTCACAGCTGTGCACCCAGATTTTTACATGGGTGTTGGGGGTTAAATTCAGACCCTCACACTTGCATGGCAAGCATTTTCTGGCTGAGCCATTTCCCTGGCCCCCAGTCGCTTATTCCAGCACTTTCCATGTACTCCCTGCCTGAGGATGCCGACTTGCTCATTTCATCCCTAGCGCTCCCGGGAGCTGCCCGTTCCTGTCCCCATTCAGGCTGCAGTTGAGGAAGATGAGGCCACACAGTTAGTTGAATGACAAAGCCTTGCCTGGAAACTGGGTCTCCTACAGTCTACACCAGGCTTAGACACAGACTGAGAGGCCAGCACGGACCTGTGGATGGTGTGATGACCCTGCACAGCCACGCCCTGGAGAGACTAGCAGAGGGCAGGGCACAGGCTTCTCCGTTGCCTGCCTGGTTTGCCCCTCTTCTGCGTATTTGACCGGCTGCCTGGTACCCAGAGGTCTTCTCACTGGAATGGCTAACTTTTTTAAAGGGGTCAGATGAATGAAGGTATCAGCCCTGCAGCCAAATAGCAGCTAGCCAGTGTCATTCCAGGGCAGCCATGACAATTCTTTTGATAGTACCGAGAATAGAAACCCATGCCTTAAAAAACAAAACAAAGCCCAGTCTCTAGGCCTGGCTGGTCTTCAGCTCCCTGTGTAGCCCCTGGATAACTTTGAGCTTCTAATTCTCCTGCTTCCACCTCTTGGGAGCAAAGATCACAGGTGTGCACCATCACGGCAGTTTAGGTGGTGAACTGAATCCCGAGCCTGGAGCATGCTGGGTAAACACTCCACCAACGGAGCTGTACCCACAGAGCTCAGGGCCTGGAACACACTAGGCAAGCATTCTGCTATTGAGCTACAGTCCGGTCCTGCAACTCTTAAATAAATGAGTTTGTACGCTCTAATAAAACTGTGTTTACAAAGCGTGGCTAGTGGAGCGTGGTGGCGCTCACCTATGACACCAGCACCCAGGGGGCAGATAGGAGGATCAGATACAGTTCAAGGCCAGCCTTGCTACATAGTGAGACTCTGTCACTGAAGCAACAGCAGGGGCTGGGGGTGTGGCTCTGTTGGTAGAGCGCTTGATGAGCCTGCTTAGAGTCTGGGGTTTGATCCCCAGCACCGACAAACTACGTGAGCCAGTGCACAAAGGAGGCAGATAAAAAGTTCAAAGTCAGCCAGGTGATGGTGGCACACATCTCTTATCCCAGCACACGGGAGGCAGAGGCAGGCAGATCTCTGTGAGTTCGAGGCCAGCCTGGTCTACAGAGAGAGTTCCAGGACAGCCTCCAAAACAATGCAGAGAAACCCTGTCTGGAAAACACACACACACTCACACACACACACACATGCATACGCACATGCACACGCACATGCACACGCACACGCACGCACGTGCACACACATTGAAGGTCATTCTCGGCAGTGGTAGTGACTTTGAGGCAAGTCTAGACTGCATGAGACCCTGTCCTCGGACTGCCGTTTGAACAACTCTGCTTCAACCCGTCTCTAAAAGTGAGTGTCAGGGATGTGTCCCACCTCAGGGCCAGGCTGTTAAACTGCCCTGCGCTGGTGCCAATGGTCAAGGTCAGCATAGTGTGGCCCACAGAGTAACTGAATACAATGGTGTGGGAAGGCATAGTGGGTATTATTTAGATTCTGTGTATGTGTGTGAGAGAGAAATAGAGAAGCAGAGGAGAGAGAGAGAGAGAGGGAGAGAAAGAGAGAGAGAGGGAGAGTCTCCTCATTATACTGTCCAGGCTGACCTTAAACTTGTGGTGATTCTCCTGCCTCAGCCACCTAACTGCTGAAATTGCAAGCATCCACTACCGTACCCGGCGACACTCTTCATTATAATAATTGCATAATTAAATTAATGTATATTATAAATCTATACTAGCCCATAAGTCTCAGGATTTCTCATATATTCACTTACTCATAAATAGTTAGGAAGCACCTAACATGTTCCGGGCACTGTCCCAGAGCTGGAGCCGCAGAGATAAATGAGTCTCTGTTCTCACAAAGCTCACAGCCCAGCTGGGAGAATCAGACCAGAGGGGCCAGAGTTATTTAATATCTGGCACCAGGAAATAAGAAATTAAATGAGTAAATTTTAAATTAGTAATTAATAAAAATAAACTAATTCGCATTTTCATGCATGTGGGTTTTTACTTTCATGCATGTCTGTGTACTGCATGCATGCATTGCCAAGGGAGGCCAGAAGAGGGAGTGGATCTCCTGAAACTGGAGGTTGTTAGCACCATATGGGTGCTGGGAATTGAACCCAAGTCCTCTGCAAGAGCTCATTACTATTGAGCCAACTCTCCTGTGCCCCCCTCCCATTTTTTAAAATTAAAGCCAAGGCTAGGGAAGGCAGAAATGGGGCCAGACCCAGTTTTCTTTTTTTTTTTTTTTTGGTTTTTCTAGACAGGGTTTCTCTGTGGCTTTGGAGGCTGTCCTGGAACTAGCTCTTGTAGACCAGGCTGATCTTGAACTCACAGAGATCTGCCTGCCTCTGCCTCCTGAGTGCTGGGATTAAAGGCGTGTGCCACCATGATTTAAACTTTATTAAGAAAACTGGGTCATATTTACATTATGATTCATAACAGTAACAAAACCTCAGTTGTGAAGTAGTATTGAAATAGTCTTATCATTGGGGTGGGGTCACCACAACCCAAGGAACTGCATTAAAGGGTCACAGTTAGGAAGGTTGAGGGCCATTGTTACCGAGGAAGAAGGTTCCAGCAGCCCCAGGGGAAGGTGTGTAGGGTCATGGGGAACCATGTTGGGTAAAGACAAGAACTTGACTGACTTTCCTATTGTCTGGGGTTTGGGTGGGAGTGGGGATAGGCTCCCATGCATCCCATGCATCCCACGCAGGCTGGTACCTAGCTGTGAGGCTGATCTTGAACATTCCCTGCCTCTACTTCCCCACATGCTAGGATTTCAGCACCATGCCCAGCTCTTGACTTTGAAAAGGACTGAGTTCCAGAAAACACGTGACAGAAACTGCTGGGATGGCACACGTGTGACAAGGGTTAGGTGAATGCAGGGTGGTCTGTGGCTTGAAGGACTCTCCCTACAGACCGGTCTTGACCCAAGGGGCTTCCTTAGCAGGTGGAGAGACGATGTTTCGGTGACTGGAGGTTAGGTGCTGGGACCCCGCCCAACCTGGCCGGGAGAGACCACTGCTCTTCCCCTGAGCACTTGGAAATGTCCACCCTGGTGACTCCTTCACCTCAGCACCCTGCCTCAGGCTCCGTGGCTCAGCTCCCCATCAGAAGCGCCCTCAGACACCAGGACACTGCCCTTGAGCTGGTCTTTCGTTCATAATCCGACTCGGCCTCTTAACTCCCGTATTAGTGAGTTTTAAATAACCACAGGAGGATCTCGGTGTTCCCTAGGAGCCCTGACCACAGCGGTGTTTTCAAGGGGCTCTCCCTGCCACAGTGGGCACAGTGGTGCCACATCCCTGAGACCCCCCCCCCCCCATGTCCCAGTGAGAGGCCACTTTGTCAATCAGCAGAGTACAAGGCGTGGAGGCAGGTCTGCGGGTTTGGATTCCTCCAGCATTACACCTGACTGTATAGATTACCGGCAGCTTGACAGACAAGCTCCAACAAATCTCTGTCTCTCTGTCTCTGCCCCCCCCCCCCCAATCTCAGAAAGGGTCCCACAGTGTAGTTCTGACTGGTCCCTCAGAGATCAGTCCACCTCTGCCTCCTGAGTGCAAGACTAACGGTGTACACCCAGCCCCAACAGAAACCTCAACCAACAGTGCCCATCCTTGAAGCAGATCCAGGCAGATGAGCTGAACCTCCGTTCAGTCGTGAGCTCAAGGCCGCCTTCCCTCTCCCTTTAGCATCTCTGTAAGTCTCACTCAGGGCGACTTGTTCTGAGCCCGCAACTTCAGACTGCTCTGAGGAGAGGTGAGCCAAGGTCACTGGGAGTTTTGGACTTAGACACTTGGTTCCCAGTGGCCAGGCCACAATGCCTGAGCCCAGTCCTAACCATCATGGAGACTTACGTATGGTATGCCTGCCTGTCCAGCTTAGCCTGGGCTGCAGCTCAGCGCCCCTCCCTGCACCTCTCACATCCCAGGAGCTTCCAGGGGTCTCTGCATAGCATCACCCCCACCCAGGACCAGCACCTCGGGGTGCTCAGTGGCCGTCTTGCACGTGTTCACAGCCCTCTTGGGGTGCATAGCGTGAGGACAGAGAACTCCCTTGCATTCAGCCCCCGACCCCCGCTTTCCACTGCATAGAGGGTCTTGTTATCACTGCACCCCAGGGGCCCAAAGTGGAGACTCTTAACATCTGCTGAGTCAAACCTCTAACGTCAAAATCCACCTTCCAAACAAACCAGACGCCGGAAAACCCAACTGGCTCAAGCTCTCTGGTAGCTAAAACCGGGCATGGCAACTTACACTTGTGTTTCTAGCAACTAGGACGCCAAAGCAGGAGGGTCGCCGTGGGTCGAAGGCCAGCCTTGGCGCCACAATAAGACTCAGCTTCCAAAGCGGTGAAAACCGACCTGTTAGGATGGACGCTTGTTCTCTTTCCCTCACCCGCAGGCTGTTCCGGCATCAGGGGGCACCCCCCAAGAACCACGCCCTTCCCCTCCCTGCCATCCTCTGCCCACCTTGTTGAAGTCAAATGTCTCGAACATCTGTTCCACATACTGGCTGGCTGAGGGGCTCAGGTTCTTGAGGCCAAAGAACTGGCGGAACTCGTAGAGGGTGAGCTGGCCAGAGGGGCACTCCGTCATGAACTTTTTGTACCACTGGTGGCATTCGGTGCTGCTCAGCTCCTCTACCGACTTGCCCTCCATGACGTTGCCCATGGTCCAGCCCCACCAGAGACTAATGCCCTAGACGGACGGGCGGGTCCTGGTCCCAATGCCCCTTGCACAAGGGCAGCTTGGTTTTCTGAAACCTGCCCTCCCTTCTCACCCGCAACCTGGTGAGTCAGATTGTGCAGACAACGGGCAAGGGAGGTGCACAGGCCACACTCACATCCAAACCCGGGGTGCCAGAGCACTGGTATTGCAAGCAAATCCTCACTCCAGTGCCAGGGCTGGAAATAGAAAGGCTTAGAGACCCATGGTCCCAAGATTACAGCCGTGAGCTGCAGACCAGAGGATTTTGCTACCCAGTTTGCGGTCCCCCTAATCCATTAACAGGATCCAGTGGGTGGTGGCTGGCAGCAGCACTGACCCTATGACCTCCATGCCCTTCTCATAGGACTGTGTCCTCAATGCTCCGGCTCGCCTTCAGACATGGCACTGACATGTATGTCAGACAGACCCAGTTTCTCTCCCAGTCAGAAGCCATACTGAGCCCCGATGGTGCTACTGTGTGGTTTAGGGGCTCCTAAGACATGACCCCAGGAACTGGAAGGGACCCCTAACCATGCACACTCAAACCTTCACTGACCTTTCCTCTGGGTTGAAGCATTCCCTCCTGGGAGTCACGAAACTCCCAAGAACAAGACTCAAAGCCCCTGCCCCCCAGTGGGTACATAAGGAGACCTTCCTCCCTCAGGGGGCTCGGAGGATGAAGCTTTTGTGAGAGTCATCACCAACTGGAGGGTTTTCCATGACAAAGCAGCTTGTGTGTCACCCATGCTCCTGCAATTGCTGAACCCCAAAGTCAGCTGGCACTTCCCTGTAACAGATGATGGCAGGACAGACCCTGCCCATTGCTCCAAAAAGAGTTTATAATGGCAGACCTTTGAGTTTCTTGAAAATGTGTAACGGCGTCTAGGAAATCAGCAATTGAAGAGTTGGGACAATGGCACTCAACATGGGTGAAAACGTCGCCACTCAGGAGCCATAAGGTTGGTGGGTGAAAACCTCCATGCCATGGGTAGGCTGTCTCCCTAGGAGTTTTTATGAGGTCACACCACGGGGCCCCAGTGCTGTGGGTTGCAGCCCCAGCATCCAATGGCAGGTCCCCACTGCTGAAGGTGTGTGCTTTGCCTGTAGGGCATGGAGAGATCAAGCTGGGTCAGAGCTGCACGTCCCTCTGTGTCTGCGTTCATGGTCCCACAGGGACTCAGGCTCTCGAGGGAGAGTTGTCTCCAAAGGTCCTGCATGTTACACTGTGGTTAGATGTGCACTGTCCCCACAGGCTCACATGCCCCCAACTGGTGACGTGTTAAGGAAGGCTGTGTGTCCTTAGGAGGGGAAGGCTTGCTGGAAGAAGAGCATCACCAGGGTGGACCTTGAGGTTTTATGACCCAGCCTTACTTCCTGTGTTCACAGGGCATTTGGGTCACTTCCTTGTAGTCATAGGAATGTGTGGAATAGATGGAGAGCAAAGTGAAGACCAGCTGTATCTCAGCCAGTCTGTGTATTTATTGGTGGCACAGGCATACACACACACCCCACATACATACACAAGCACACACCACACATAAAATACACATACACACACCACACATACATACACATACACACACACCCCATACATACACATTCACACACCACACATACACACACATCCCACATACATATACATTCACACACCCCACATACACACACCCCATACATACACATACACACACCCCACATACACACACATACACACACACCACACATACACACACATACACACACCACACATACACACACATACACACACACCCTATACATACACATACACACACACCCCACACATACACACACATCCCACATACATACACATTCACACACCCCACATACACACACCCCATACATACACATACACACACCCCACATACACACACCCCATACATACACATACACACACCCCACATACACACACATACACACACACCACACATACACACACATACACACACACCACACATACACACACATACACACACACCACACATACACACACATACACACACACCACACATACACACACATACACACACACCCCATACATACACATACACACACACCCCACACATACAGACACCCCACATACACACACATACACACACCCCACATACACACACCACACATACATACACATACACACACCCCACATACATACACAAGCACACACACCCCACATGCACACACCCCACATACATACACATACACACACACCACACATACATACACATACACACACCCCACACATATACACACACCACACATACATACACAAGCACAGACCACACCACTCATACATACGCCACATGCGCACATACACCACATAAACATACACACACCACACATATACACCACACACACAACACCCATACATATGCCACATGTGCACACACACAACACACCATACATACACATAACACACACACCACTCATACATATACCACAGGCACACACACCACCCACACTCTACTCATACATACACCATACACACAACACACCACTCATACATACACCACATACACACACAACACACCATACATACACACCATACACACCATAAATAAAAATGTAATAAAATATTTGAAAATATATAGAAACCATCTGTTCTTTATAGTAATGAATGTGTTCTGTTCACATAACCCAAGGATAGTCATCTTTTGGAGAAGAACCAATCAGCTCTGCTTTACATCCGCTCTCCCCAAAGGATGGGTTTGAGGTTGGTTGAGTTCTATAGACTTGCAGTAGAGGGATTGTCCCCAAATCTCGCTAGAATTCATCTCCCCCTGAGCGTCACTGACATTTTGTCTGCATGCGGTATGAGATTTCTACGATGCAGAATAAATTACCACAATGCGCAGTTTAAACCCACACATTTGTCACCCCGTGTTCCTGCGGCGCAGGGCCTCACACGCTGCTGTCAGGGAGTCAGTGGGCATGGGGCAGAGTTCCGTGCTTGCCGCTGTGTGGTTGGGGCTCTAGTCCTATGCTGGATGCTGTCGGAGGGAGTCGCAGGTGTTGGCCACCTCTCTATGCTGCCCACAGCTCCTGCTCCAGAGCCTTCCACGCTCTGCCTGTTATTCTGTCAAGCCGGTAAGGGGAGTCTCCTCCGATCAGCTAACTGGGAGTCATACAATGCAGCCCCTCAAGTCAGTGACAAGCCATCACCTCTGTCACATTCCATGTAGTCTGTGGAAGCAGGTTCAGGCCTCGCCAACACCCGGGGAGACAACTGTGCCAAGACAGGACACCCGGAGGTGGAAACCACCAGCGACACTCTAAGATCTGTGGCACCATTTGCCGTTGGACAATAACAGACAGAACACTCGGTTCCTTCTGGGACTGCAAGTAGTTGTCTGCCAGGCTGCACTTAGGAACCTGGGAGCTTCCAGAAGGCAGACGTTCTAATTCATTCACCCTCAACACCTAGCACCTCCTGAGCTGTGTGTTTACATCCCCCTTCATCATGTCCATGCAGCCCTGAGCCTCAGACACTGGCCCCCAAAGACAAACCCCTGTAGACGGGCTCCCCCGTCCTCTGACTCACAGCCGGCTGGTCCAGAGACGCACTGGAGAAGACTGAAGGGCAGGAGAGATGGACTGGGTATCCCCGCCTTCACTCCTGCTGCTCCTGGGTCTCGGTATGGAGGAACAGGCTTTCTGTTGGGTCCAGTTCTTGAGTCCTGAGGCACAGTTCCCTCCCTCACTCAGCAGGTATGACGTGTGTCCCTCTGCTGATGCTGGGGACGTCACCGCTCCACAACTGTGCCCATTTCCTTGTCCTCAGTCGTTTCGTCCAGCGTTCCTCAGCGTTGTTCTTCTGACATGTAAGGGTGTTCTGACGTGTAAGGGTGGTCTGACGTGTAAGGGTGTTCTGACATGTAAGGGTGTTCTGACATGTAAGGGTGTTTTGACATGTAAGGGTGTTCTGACATGTAGGGGTGTTCTGACATGTAGGGATGTTTTGACGTGTAAGGGTGTTCTGACGTGTAGGGGTGTTTTGCCTTCGTGCTTGTCTGTGTGCTGTGTATGTGCTGCATCCATAGAGGCCAGAAGAGGGTGTGGGACCTCTGGGACTGAAGTTCCACACTGTTGCTAGCCGCTGTGGGTGCTGAGAACCAAATGGGGTCCTCTGAGAGAGCAGTCAGGACCCTGACCACTGAGCCATCTCTCTAGATCCCTCAAGTAACATTTTTCAAGAGTAACATTTTGATTTGCTTAACTGGGAACCTAACCCAGGATCTCACGCTCCACAGGCCAGCTTCTTGACCACAGACCCATCTCTCTAGACCCCTCAGTTGTTTTTCAAGAGTAACATTTTGATTTAACAGGGAATTAAACCTAGGCTCTCACACCCACTGGGCCAGCTCTCAACCACTGAGTGGCCTCCCAGGGCTTTTGTTTCGAGACAAGGCCTAACTGAAGTGCCCAGGTCTTCACTTGTGTTTCTCCAGCATCTGCCCCACGAGTAGCTGGGAATGCAGGCCTGCACTGCCAGGCCAGGCTGCAGACTACCATTAGACAGGATCCTGAGCTCAAATACACTGCCAGTGAACGAGTGTGCAAATGTGTTGAAGTGGGAGCACACACAAGTGCAGCGGCGGAAAGGGGGTGTGGAGGGTGCAGGCATGCACGACCACAGGACAGGGAAGTGAGAGGCACTTGCGTAATTAAGAAAGGCAAGGACAGGATAAAAACCCTGCATGAAGGCGCCGTGCCGAGGTGCAGGGCTTTCAGCTCACTGGGCACCGTGCTGAGGTGCGTGGCTTACAGCTCACCGGGCAGGAGAAGGAAGGCAGAGCTGGGTTGCAGAAGACAGAGGGTTCCTCCAGGGTACTGGATGAGCTCACTCTGACCCCTTAGTGACACAACAGAATCCCGAGAGAACCGTTAATCCTGGGATTCATCAACCCCAACCCGGTGGGCCTGCAGGCAATTTCTGTAAAAGGTGTCCCTGGCAGCCGTGCTGCCAATGTGAGGCTCCAGGCGTGTAGGAGCGCTGACTGGCGGAGTTAAACTCTGCCTGAGAACCCTGCCCTGCACACTCTGGCGGGCACAGATGGCTCTGGCGGGATCTCCACCTCTAAAAGAAAGACCCAGTTTGCGCTGTGGTGGGAAGACTAACTTATTGAATAAATGATTAAGACCTCTAAATATACATAGACTGAACATAGCATTTATCTCTGCTGAGTCTACAAACCTCACCAAAACTGAAATACATGATTTTTTAAAACATAAGCCCCAAGAGATTAAGGCAGACAGCAGACAAGATGAGCATAGTGGTGTGTTCCTGTAGTCAGCATTCAGGAGAAGCTGAGGCAGGAGGATGGCCAGTTCCAGTCCGGTATGGGCCACAGCAAGATCCAGGTAGCCTGGACTACAAGAAGGGACCTCACCTCAAACAAACGCGGCAGACAGAAAGTTCTGGGGAAGGGGGTACTGGAAAGGGAGCCGGGAAAACGGTTACTTATTAGAGAGAAGAACATTGAAACTTCCATCTCCTCAATGAGGAAAAGACACCTGGACTAGCACAGGAGCTACAGACACAAACCTAATCTTGCCACAGAGGCCTAGGAGTGGAGTCTGGGGTGGAGGGTGTGAGAGTCATAATAAGATCGGCCAAAAGCTTGTGCAGAAGAAATGAGCTGCCCAGATGCTGTGTGTGAGTGTGTCTGTGGGTGTGAGTACATGTGTGTGTGTGTTGTTGTTGTCTTTTTTCTTTCTTTTTTGATATAGGGTCTTACCATGTAGCCCTGGTTGACCCAGAAGTTGATATCTGGACCAGGCTGCCCTTGAACTCGTAGAAATTAGTCCACCTCTGCCTCCTGAGTGCTGGGATTAAAGGTGTGCACCACCACCAGACACCCTCTATGGCTGATTCCACAGTCACTGAATTCTCAGAAGTGGTCTACACAGTCTCTCAGGCCACTGTGTGAGACTTAGTGGGCTCTGCCTTCACCCACCCCTCCATGACCATAGGCCCATAAGACTTGCAAGGCTTAGCTGGGTGATGGCAGCACACTTCTTTAATCCCAGCAGTCAGGAGGCAGAGGCAGGCGGATCTCTGTGAGTTCAAGACCAGCCTGGTCTACAGAGTGAGTTCCAGGATAGCTAAGGCTACACAGAGAAACCCTGTCTCAAAACAAACAAAAACGTGTGAGTCTAATATTTAGCTGTTCTGGACCATATGACAGAATAGGAATGGGACCTTTAACTCCCAGGAAAAGCCTTGAGTTAGAAACCCAGGGTAGTGATACATTCTTGTAATTCCAGCACTCAGGGGACAGTGGCAGGAAGATTGTGAGTTCACGGTTAGGGTTAAGGCCAGCCTACTCTACACAGCAAAACTCTTGTCTCAAAAAGCCAGAAACAATGAGCCAGGCAGTGGTGGCGCACGCCTTTACTCCCAGCCCTTGGGAGGCAGAAGCGGGCAGATCTCTGTGAGTTTGAGGCAGCCTAGCTTACAGAGTGAGTTCCATGACAGTCAGAACTACTACACAGAGAAACTGTCTCAAAAAACAAAACAACAAAAATCCAGAAACCATTAGGAATGTAGCTTAATTTGTAGTCCTTATCTAGCAGACATGAACCCCTGAGTAAACCAGGAGTGGGGGTGCATGTCTGTGATTCCGTTCCTTGGGAAGTGAGGCAGGAGGATCAGAAGTTCAAGGTCATCCCCAGCTACACAGCAAGTCTGGGGCCAGAATGGACTGTGTGAAATCCTGCCAGAACAAAAGGATCATCTTTACAGGAGTGGCTTACTAGAGAGTGGTTCATCTCCCGTGCTTGTTACAGGGGGTGAGATGGCCTCCTGGGAGCAGGAGCCGTATAGCCAGCAGGTGAGTCTTTTTAGTTTTGGAGCCCATGGGGACGCTGGAAAGCACCGACTGTCACTTGGGTCTGGGAGAAACACATCCTTGGGGTTCAGGGGGCTGAGACTAAAACCTTCCAGCCCTTCAGGTCCCCCTGGAATACACTTACCATGTAATAACCCTATCCACTTAGAGGCCAGGAAAAGGAGGGACAAAGTTTATTTCTTCCGAGAAGAAGCCCCCCTCTGCTGTCACGGCATTCCTGGCTAGCCCAGATATAACACTGCTCCTCCAGGAATGAATGGCATTTCCCTCTGGGCCCCAGGACCACAGGGTGAAGGTGCAGGGTGGGGACTTCCAGAGATGCCAAGGACCTAGGTGCGCCACAAGATCAGGTTTGCTGGAGGAACGTCAAAAGGTTTGCGGGTGTGGTCGGTCTCCCTGCGGTACAGGTAGCCACAGGTGGGCTTCTGCAGGGTGTAGAAGGGGTTCAGAGAGTTGGAATACTGGGAGGTGTAGAAGTTGAACCTGATATTTTCCGGGTTATGCCCCCGAGGATCCACCACTACTGGTACAAAGGCTGCCACCAGAGATTGTTCTCGGTCTCGTTTCCACGTCTGTGACAACGGTGGGGACAGTGGTGCCTTCACCTTTGTGCCTGATGATGTCTTTTGCCCATGGCTGGGGATTGAGGATTTTTGTGAGTCCTAAGAAGGGAAAATGAAGTTGAAAGTTGGCAGGCCTGAAAGCCGGGGAATTGGCTTTGATTTGCTAAAGCCAGGACAGGAAGGAGAACGGGCAGCTTGCGGAGTCCCCAGAGCAACCCTGGAACACAGTTCTGTTGGGCAAGATGTCAGAAGCTCTATATCAGAGGAAAGCCTTCAGTCCCCCTCCCCGGCCCTGCCCCTGCAGACTTCTGCCTAATCATCAGGCACCTGCCCGTTCAGAAGGCAGGAAACCTGGATGCTGGCTTCAAGGTCTCTTCCTCCTCCAGCCAATCATCACTCCTCCCCGTGCCTCTGGGGCAGTGCCTTCACCCTCTTTCTCCTGAAGGGTCACCCCAGCACCCTTTGACGTCATTTCTCCTTCAACCTTTTGCCTTTTCCATTGACTCCAGAATCTGCCTTCTGTATTAATAGATAGCTACGTAATCACCCAGCTGTTCTCCTAAAAGCACCTTTTGTGTCTTCCATCTGGAAAATAAACCCCAAAGCTTTCCAGCCTGGAATGCAAGATGTGTACTAGAGATGTGGTGTCAATTCCCGTCCTCTCCACCCACCCTGTGTACCGACACACGAGGGTACCTGTCACCCAGATGACACCTCATCTTTCCAGTACCTCGAATTAAGAGAACCCCATCAATGCAGCCCAGCACATGCTCTCTCGCTTCCTGTTGGTAGGAAGATCCCTTACCCGTGACATAGAAGCCTGGAAAACACTGTTTCTTTGCTCCAGACCAAAGCATTTAGAGTGCTGGGTAAACGCGGGTTCTAGTACAGGGCAGGCCGCCTTCCAAGCTGCTGGCCCAGTTCTGTTTTAGAACCCCTCATTGTTACCAAGGGTGTGTCCTTTCTGCCTGTGCCCACCTCCCCTTGGCCTCTGCTCTCGGTTGATGGGGTCCGCCCTCTTCTAGGAGCCCCCTGTTGCTGCGCAGACCACGCTGTACTGACGTTCATTTGGCCCTGTTACGCCTTCTTGCCTCTCCTGCGATGGAACTGCCTTGCTCCTTGAAATCCTGCAACAACTCCCGGGGACCAGGTGTCCATTTTATTTATTTACGTGTTTGTTTAGGGTTTGGTTTGGTTTTTGCTTTTTGAGTTGAGTTCTCATGTAGCCCAAGCTGGCCTCAAAGGCAATGGGGTAGCCCTCTCTCTACCTGTCTCTGCCTAACAAGCTCCTTTTCTCTTACGGGCTTTACAATCCAAAGCCCGGGCTGCCTGCAGGTGACCATCCACCAGAGTGCATCGGGGTACCTGAATTCTGTCTCTGGGCCCCGACTCCCAACCATTTTCTCTCTGCCCAGCCTCGGGGCTCAGAAAAGAAGCCCTGACAATGGAGTCAGGGAAGGCAGAGACCTCCTGCAGATGCCCATGCTCCAGTCAGGGTAGAGCTCTTTGCATCTGATTTACAAACTATTTTCCCAGGTAACATGACTGTACAAGGTCCCTGTCTCACTTTTTAAATTCTTCCTACCCTCCCCAGGCAGGGAGCTCTCTTGACTGCACGCGCTCTCTCCCGGGAATGTTGTCCCAAGCCTGTCACAGCCCCCACCCATCCTACGAGCACCGCACCGGGTCTTGGGGAGACCCCATGACCTCACTTAACCTTGTCTTCCATAGTCATTAGAGGAAGGATATTTTCTCTCATGTTCTTGAGTTTGACCAGAGAGAGGCCTCTCGCCCATCTGTGTGGGGTGTTGGGAACTACATGTTGGCAATGGGATCAGAGGCACAAATAGCCTAAGGAAACAGTCTTTGTTGTTCTTAATGTTGTCAGAACTGAAAAGTACCCCATCATGACTACGGCAGAGGACTGGCCAGTCCACCTGAGAAGGCGGCAACCCATCCCCCACTGAGGTAAGGCACTCACCAGCCATCTAAGTAGCCCGCCCCCCAAATCAGTGTCTCAGCAAGACCAAATCTGGACATGAGTCCTCTGTCTTCTCCTTGAGGAGCCACCTGAGTAAAATCACTTCTGAACCTCAGCATCTTGTCTCACGATTTAACTCTCCTGCTGCGTGGGATGAGCAGCCAGACCTGAATCTACTCACGTTCCCAAGATGCTATCCTGTTCTAGGAGGGACTAAGGTAGTACACACAATTTTAAAAGGTTGTAAACTGGGCCTGGAGAGGTGGCTCAGTGGTTAAGAGCACTTGCTGCTCTTCTAGGAGATCCAAGTTTTATTCCCGGGAGCTCCAGGTCACAGCCATCTGTAACTCCAGCTCCAGAGAATCCCATGACCTATGACGCCCTCTTCTGGCCTCCATAAGCTCCTACACACTCATGTCCACACATGGACACACACGCACAATCACACAATAGCACGATAAAAATAAACAACAACAAAAAGAAGTTGTAAACCGGGCTGGAGAGGTGGCTCAGTGATTAAGAGCACTGACTGCTCTTCCAGAGGTCCTGAGTTCAATTCCCAGCAAACACAAGGTGGCTCACGACCATCTGTAATAAGACCTGGTGCCCTCTCCTGCCCAGCAGGTATTCATGTAGGCAGAACACTGTATATACAATAAATAATTAAATAAATAAACCTTAAAAAAAAAGAAGTTGTAAACCTGGCACCGGGGGTGAGGAGGTGGGGGGTGGAGGGGGTGGGGGCATGCTGGTAATCTTAGCACTCAGAAGATGGACACAGGAAGATGAGGAAATCAAGTCATCCTCTCCTCTGCTAAACAGTGAGTCCAAAGTCCCAAGATATAGACTCTTCCTCAAAAAGCAAACCAAGAGAAGTCATCGCCCAGAGACTTCTGGAAGCACCTGGGACTTAGCATCTTCACCTTCTGGACCTGGACTAAGTTCAGGAGACTGGCACAAGACCACAGTGACAAGTGCTTCACGATGGTGTGGAGAGCTGACAAAGACCCCGCCTCAGGACGGATAATGTGTTTTGCTGACCGGATCAAGCATCTACTGTAGTGGTTGGAATAAAAATGGACCCACAGGCTCATGTGTTCAAACACTTGGTCCCCAGGTGGTGGAGCTGTTTGGGAAGGATTAGGAGGTGTGGCCTTGTTGGAGGAGGTGTGTCATTGGGGTGGGCTTTGATGTTTCAAAAATCCACCCCATTCTAGTTGGTTCTCTGCCTCATGGTTGTTGTCTTAACATGAAAGCTCTCAGCTACCACTCCAGTGTCAGTCTGCCTGCCTGTTGTCAAGCTTACCACCATGATTATTATGGACTACAATGCTCTGAGATGGTAAGCCCAATAAACTCACTCTTCTCCAAGTTTCCTCTGTCGTGGTGTGTCTTTACTGCAATAGAAAAGTAACTTAGACACCTACCAAGTACCATGCACTTGTCACTCACCTCTGCCAAAGTTCCCTACAGACAAGTGAGATGTTAACTCAGTTTTTCTGTTGCTGAAACAGAGGCTCATGAATATCTAGCTATCATCAGTTGAAGTTCACACAGTTTGTGACAAAGCACAGAGACTTTTCAGAAGTCACACAACTGACTTACACAGCCAGAATTCCAACACAGCCTTCACTCTCTGCCTCAGCCCAGGGCCTGGACCCACCTGCTCTGAACCCACCTGCTCTGACCCCACCTGCTCTGACCCCACCTGCCCTGACCCCCTGCTCTGAACCCACCTGCTCTGACCCCACCTGCTCTGACCCCACCTGCCCTGACCCCCCTGCTCTGACCCCACCTGCTGCAGACCCCACCTGCTGCAGATCCCACCTGCTCTGACCCCACCTGCTCTGACCCCACCTGCTCTGACCCCACCTGCCCTGACCCCCCTGCTCTGACCCCACCTGCTGCAGACCCCACCTGCTGCAGACCCCACCTGCTCTGACCCCCCCTGCCCTAACCCCCCTGCACTGACCCCACCTGCCCTGACCCCCCTGCCTTGACCCCCTGCACTGACCCCACCTGCTGCAGACCCCACCTGCCCTGACCCCCCTGCCCTAACCCCCCCTGCACTGACCCCACCTGCCCTGACCCCCCCTGCTCTGACCCCACCTGCCTTGATCCCCCCTGCTCTGACCCCTCCTGCTCTGACCCCACCTGCTCTGAACCCACCTGCTCTGACCCCACCTGCTGCAGATCCCACCTGCCCTGACCCCACCTGCTCTGACCCCACCTGCTGCAGACCCCACCTGCTCTGACCCCCCTGCCCTGACCCCCTGCCCTGACCCCCCTGCCCTGACCCCCCTGCCCTGACCCCCCTGCCCTGACCCCACCTGCTCTGAACCCACCTGCTCTGACCTCCCCTGCTGCAGACCCCACCTGCTCTGACCCCCCCTGCTCTGACCCCACCTGCTCTGGGCCCCAACCTGTAGGAGCCCTAGACACTGCTGTTGCTGCCACATGCAAGGGCCTTGCCCCATCCAGAGATTGGCCCTCACAGAAACTGGGGTAGAAAGGACTGTTCAGGAAAGGTAGAGAGAAAAAGAGAGGAAGGAAGAAAGAAAAAGAGAAAAGGGAAGGAGGTTGCTGGAGATGGCTTATCAGTTAGGAATGTTGGATGTTCTTCCAAAGGACCCACGGTTGGCTCCCAGCATCCATGTTGGGTGGCTCACAACTGCCCGTCACTCCAACTTCAGGGGACCCAGCACTGTCTTCTGGACTCTGTGAGCACCTGCTTACATGTGACACACAGGTATACACATAGGTAAGAAAACAAAAGGAAGTCGAGAGAGAGCAAGAACGCAAAGGAAAGGTGGGAGGAGGAGGAAGGAGGAAGAGAGATCACAGCCTAACCTTGTCCTGCCCCTCCCAGGGCCCAGCCAGGCAGGCTCTGAGTGACTGACTCAGTGGGCTGAGAGCACCCACTCCCTGCCCGGGCCCCAGCATGGCCAGCACTGATGGAGGGTGGGGCCTGGCTGCATATTTTCTAGGCTAGCATCTGGTTTCATTTAACAGCTCTTCCCTGTCATGCCCTTCTTACCTTGGGGGTGGGGGTGGTTAGAGAGAGGCCCCTCGGTGCTGGGGGCAGTCCCATACCCCACCAAGAATTTTTACTGCCAGGATCAGCAATGCCAAGGCTGAGGAGGCCTGGTTCAGAGCCTTGAGGGTGACACTTCAAAGGTGCCACATATACCTCCCGTTCTACAGAGTTCAGTAACTCTGAAGGGCAAGAAGGGGAGGACCATGGTCCCTGCCTTCCCTTTGGAACCCTCTTCCATTTCCAATCTGGGGCCTTGGAACCCTGCAGGAGCACAGAACCTCCCTCCCTCCGTGCCCCGAGCAGCCCCAGGGACTCGGGATGCACTTGACAGTTTGTCCCTTGCCTCAGGACTTCAAATGGGGTGGGGGTGGATTGAGAAGGTCCTCTGGGGCTGAGAGATGTTCCCTCCAGTGGATAAGAGCACTTGTGCAAACACAGGTCCGGAGTTCACATGCCAGGGGAAAGCCGGGGCAGCCACACATGCCCCTGTAGCCCCAGCACTGTGGAGGGAGAGTTAGGATCTGCTTGGCCACTTCCAGCCTAGCTCCAGGATCAGTGAGACCCTGTCTCAAGAGATTAAGGGGGAGTGTGATAGAGAAGGACACCGTACATGTTCCTCTAGCCTGTGTACACACAGGCATGCACATACGTGCACACACACACACACACACACACACACACACACACACTGAAGAAGAAGGAGAAAAGGCCTGCCTTTCTCCGTGGGTAAGCCCTCACATGGTATCAGGTTAGGTCTTCTGGGAAGGCACTATGCCCTAGCAAGTCCTCGGGCCCAGAGGTACATGGCCTGCTCTGGCCAAAGCCTGGGTATCACGGCTTGGAAAGTCAAAAACCTTTTTGAAATCTGCATTACTGATGACTGAACCCGGGGTCTTGGTTTTTCTAGGTGAGCACTCTAACCAGTGGAATATACCCTCAGATCCAGCCCAGGCCTAGATTCAGCTGTCAGCATCTCTGTTTCCGGTAGCCAGCCTTGTACCCTGATGAATGCAAATGGCATTGGGATGAGGCCTGAGGCCGCTGGGAGTCTCCCCAGGGCACCTGGTGTTTAGAATGTATCAGGGCTTTGCCGGTTGAAGGTTGAGCTCTGGCCTGTGTGGGCGCTTTGCTCAGGCGGATCTTTGAGCTTCTGCAAAAGCGGCGTAAGACAGTCATCAACCTCACCAGCTTGTGGTGGACGAGACAGGCAGTGCCACTGGAGAAATGCAGGGTGCACGCTGATTAGATTAACCTTACGGAGTGACACACTGCCCGGAGTATGCTGCCTGACCCACCCCAGTGCAGAAGGGCTCCAGAGACAGCTGGGAAGTCCTTACAAGACTGGGTAGTCCCCAATCTGGAGCTAGCTACCCGTACAATGGTGGTACTCCTCCACTGACTGCATATAATCCCTGAGTTTGCTATAACACTCTGTACTCGCTTCCTTGTAAAGTAAGAAGAAACTCTAGGGGCCAGTGAGACGGTTCAGTAGATAAAGGTGTTCGTGGCTGAGCTGACAACCTGAGTTTCATCTCCAGGACCCAAGCGGTAGAAGGAGAGAAGCAGCTTCTGCAAATGTCTCTGACTTCCGTATGTGTGCTGTGGTATGCACACAGAGACACGCACAGAGGCACAGACACACACACAGACACACACACACAGAGACACGCACAGAGGCATAGACACACACACAGACACACACACACAGAGACACACACAGAGGCATAGACACACACACACAGAGGCACAGATACACCACACTCAGACACACACAGAAGCACAGATACACCATACTCAAATACTCAGACACACAGAGAGGCATGCGCGCGCGCACACACACACACACACACACACACTGTACCTAGATTTAAGCACTAACATAAAAGATTCGTCTAGGCGATGCTAACTGAAAAGTCTGGAAGGCACACTGCAGAAGCCAAGTGTAAAGGAATCAGAGGGACTGGATGGTAGCATTCCCCTCTGCCCCCTACAAAAGACAACAGAGGCCCCCAGGAGGGGAACAGGTTAGTCAGTGACCCTGTAAGCCAAGCTCCAGCCCCAGAGACACACGTGACCCTGGATGGGACCATTCCCGCCCTTCACTCTATTTCAATTGCTCGTGACCTTGGACCGCCCAGCCCCAGTCCCTGATGGCATCTCACTTTCAGCATCCTCAAGCAGGGCCTTCCTTGATGGTGGGATGGGACTTCTCGTGGCCGGGGCTCCAGAGGCACCCAGGGACCCTTGGGAGGGCACTGAGGGCACCAAGGTGAAGGGCCCTTGTGTGGACTTGGGGCATTGTGACGCCACCTTACAGCATAAACTCCTCTATCTTCCCAAGGAGACATAGGCACAGGAGAGAGCTTTGACACTCTCTCCTCTTCCCATGTATCCTTAGAACTCTCACAGAGGGAACAGTGGGGTAAGTCAGTCCTGCGCTCCATCAGGTCCCAGTGTGTCACAGAAGTCATTGGCAGAGAGGAAAGAGACCCCCCTCTCCCCTCGTCTCATTCTTTTGGCTACTAGTTTCGAAGATTTTTTATTTTATGTGTATGGGTATTTTGCCTGCGTGTGTGTATGTGTACCACATGCATGCCTGGTGCTCACGGAGGCCAGAAGAGGGCAGCACCCCTGGAACCGGAGATAGAGTGGTTACAAGTCACCGTGTGGGTGCTGGGAACTGAGCACTGTCAGCGGGTACTGCTGACCGCCCAGCACCTTTCCTGCCCTGAACGCTGCCGTTCAGCGTCAGGCTCCCATCTAGCCCATGCTGCCTTCAAACAAGCCACACAGCAGACCTCGCTCCTCAAGCCCTTGATTCCCTGCCTTCTGAGAGCTGGTCTCTCTCATCTCACCGTCCACACACCTTCTAAATTACAGGGGTGGAAGGCAAGGGATGTGTCAGCAGGAAAGGGGCCGGGAGGTGAGATGAAGTGTTGCTGGGGAGCTGGGGAGTGGACCAGCCCCGCCTTCTCGAGCCTTCTCCGCCCATCTCCGCCCCATCGCCTCCCCGTGTCCTTTCCTCTCTATTCTATAGGCATGTCCTTAAGTGCGTCCTGCTCTGTCCTCGGAAACTCTATAGATTCTCCTCCTCCTCCACTGCTATGGATCAGGGTAGGAGGTGAAGGAATAGAATGGACTGTTAGATGACATCTGGCTTGCTGACTAGGAAGTGGATGGATGGGTGGGTGGATGGATGGACGAATGGGTGGGTGGATGGATGGACGAATGGGTGGGTGGATGGATGGACGAATGGGTGGGTGGATGGATGGGTGGATGGGTGGGTGGGTGGGTGGGTGGGTGGATGGGTGGGTGGATGGGTGG